AATAATCTTATTATCCACTCAGTTACATGGGGGACATTGGGGAGCAAGCAGGTGAAATTGTAAACAAAAACTCTCGTACTAATTTTGGTTAAATTGATTACTTACATGTAGTTTGATTTTTATTGATTTTTTTAGAGCCGGTTTACTAACAAAAATAATTTCTGATTTTTACTGTTATTTCTTATAATTGAGAATCAGAAGCAATTTGAGTTGTTTTTTTAATCTATTGAAGTGGCAAAAAAAACTCCACTGGGCCGAATCCGGCCCAGTCCACCCATTTGGGAGGGCAATCCAGCGATCCCCTTGCCCAGTCAATTTCATATCGGGTCTGACCCTGGGACGGCCCAAGGGAAAACTAAGTCCCGTTTTATTTCCAATATTAAACCCAAGTAAGGGAATTAGGGTAAAGGGAACGTGGACTGTATGGTGTAAAAAGAAAACTTTCCATTAATAGAAAGGACTATTATTTTGCATATACATCTATACATCGCTGAGTTATATATATTGTGACAACTCCAATTATATATGAAATTAAGGTGTTGATGATATACACATAGAGACTACAGAGAGAAAGCAAAGTGATATCTAACCTAGATAATTAAAACGCATTCTTCTAATATCTCTTTTAAATCAGTATTTCACAATGAATGATTTTATAATGCTGTTTACCTTTCGTGCCAACTTATAATAAAGATCTTCTAGAAATCAATCTTTTGAGAAATTAATATTGTTGAGGATGAATAAACTATAAATCAAATTGTTACTGACCTGGTCTCTATTTTATATGGTTACCAACCATGGGTAGGCTGATGTTGATTCCTCCTGAACAATACTTGCTAGTAGCCTTGGACTAGTCAAACTGAGAGATTCTAGTATTTAATTAGATAACTAGGTAGGCAAGAAATGAGTTGAAAGATTTATTTCGCACTTTCTACCTGCGTAATGTGAAACTATTTCATTAGACATAGAAAATAATGGTTCTAACTTCATGATACAATACAAAAAACAAATCTTGTTCGTTTGTCTTCCTTTTTCTTTTTTTTTTTTGTTTAATAATCTTTAGGTGATTGTGAAGCCTACATTTTCTTCCTATTTTTTTGTTTAATAATCCCTAGGTGTGATGGTTAAGTAGACATATTCTTCTTGGAGGTAGGTTGGCTAGATGGATAGAATCTTTTTTCTTCCCTTTCTTTTGTCTTTAGCAGCCTCCAAACCATTGACTTCGATCATGAGAGTTTACACCCAAATTCACTAGGTAGGCAAGAAATGAGTTGAAAGATTTTTGGAGCCTAAATCAGTCTCTTACATAGAGCACGATTTATACACATATAATTAGTTATATCACTTTAATTTTAGAATTAATTGTAGAATATGCTCATATTACATATCACATCCTTCACCAACAAAAATTACTCTTAAAATTTCAATTTGGTGCAAATAGATCCTGATAAATTTAAATTCTAAGTTGACCAAATTACTCTTACTGAACCATTTTATAAAATATATATAAATAAATAATTTTATAAAATGACCGAAAAAGACATTATTAGATGACGGCCTTCACGTGCAAAAATCACCCCTAAAGTTTTAATTTGGTGCAAATAGATCCCTCTAACAAATTTAAACCCTAAATTGACTAAATTACTCTTACTGAACTATTTTATAAAATATATAAATATAAATAATTTTGTAAAATGACCGGAAATGACATTATTGAAAGATGCGACAAGTAAAGATAAAAATATAAAATATAAATATAAAAGAAAAATAAAGATAAAAATAAAAAATAAAAAATAAAAAATGAAAATAAAGTGCAAATTAAAGAAAACAATTCTACTCCAAATCTCGAAAACAAGTGCACACTGATATTGAGATCTTTTTCCTTTTTTCTTTTTTTTCTTTTTTTTTTCGTTTAACAGTGTTGGTATGAAAAAAAAATATAAATAAATAAATTAATTAATTAATAGAAAACAGTAAACTGAAATCTCAAAAAATTCAAATCATTATTCTAAAAATTCTCAAAGTTTCAAAAAAAAAAAAAAAAATTAGAGATATATAGTGAAAAAAGTTTAAAATATATATATATATATATATATATATATATATATATATATATATATATATATCTAAGGTAATGTGCACATACCATCCATATACTATGAGATTAGTAACATATATATCACCTTGGGCATTTTCGATAGAGTAAAAAGACAAAATGTGTATTACAGCACTAATTTATGTCAGATTTCTGATTAAGGGGTATTTTTGTACAATGTGAAAAGATTAGGGGTGTTTTTTGCACACTTTTTCAAATAGAGGGTAAAAATGTTATGCAGAGTATACTTTAAGGATGTTTTCTGCGCTTGTCCCTTAATATTTCCTAGTACGCCTTTCATTTATGGTTAACATTACCTATAAATTGATTAGCTTGCAGTGAATATATGTAACCAACATTGACAATATGCAGTGAGGAATCATTTTAATTTAGGGCTAATTGCAAAAAAAAAAAAAAAAAAAAAAAAAAACCAATCGACTATTAGTAAGTTGCGAAAACCCCTTATGAATATTTTTTTGCAAAAACCCTCCTTCAATTATTCCAAGGTTGTGTTTTTAACGAATGTCCATTTAAGTAATTTTATGAGACAATTTTTCAAATGAAATTACTCCTTAACAAATTATTCTCCAGACAATCAATAAATTTATTTTCTCTCTCTTCTCTATCTCTCTCTCTCTTTTTTCTTTTCTTTTTTTCCTAAATCTCTCTCTTCTTTCTCTCCCTTAAGCAAAGCCTTCTCGATCTTTCAAGGATATTAACCCACTAAAACTTATAACCATCCTGAATTGGATTTGGGGCTTTCTCTTTCTCCAATTAACAAATGTGAATATGAAACTTGTAGTTAGGTAGAACTTCTCTCTTCAAATTATTCTTTTGACAATTTATTATTTTTGGAACTGCCATTAGGGCATACTATAGTGTGACCTCTCTCAGGCAAGGTGACTGCATATTTTATGGTCTCTTCCTCTCAACTATTCTTGATATATTTTTATTACTTTAGCTCTCTTGATGCTTTCTTTCAATCAATTTTGATTTTTTTTTTTAGGGTTTAGTTTATTGGTAAAGAAAAGTGTGCAAGTCTTTTTAAAGTGTCTATTGGACAGTTGGTTGGATGTGTCATGCTATAATTGTATTGAACTGGTCAGATACTGGGGTGACATTGTCTTCTAAACTTAAAAAAGAGTAACATTTGCTTAATTTATATAATTGAAAATGAAGTAGAACAGTAAATGCCCAGTTCCAACTAGTTTATTGTAAATGGGTAGACGCTTATTTATTTATTCAAAAATTTAAATTTTTGGATAATATTACATACTCACCCATTTATATCTAATCATTTTCCCATTTAGATCCGATATAGAATAAATGGTCCCTTGTAACATTCTCCTCCACCCGAACTCACAATGCTCTTGTTATGGTCGGGCCACCCTGCCTACTCGTGGTATAGGGATGGCAAATTGATCCGCCCCTACGGTTACCCGCCCTACCCCGCCCCATTTTTGGCCATTTTAAGGGACCGTTTAGCTTATTTGGGTGGGGATTGTTTGATGTAATAAAAACCCACGATGGTTTGGTATAGGGGCGGGGTAGTCGCCCCGCCTCGCCCCGTTTAGATAGACAAATTACTTAAGTACCCTTATTTTATTAGTATATATATTTCCCAGTATATATATTGAGTACCTTATATAACAATATTAAAATATCAAATGAATTTGATTAGAAGGAAAGTTGTAATGATAAAAAACTGAAAATGAAGGGGAAAAAAAAAGAGTAAATCTGTTTCAACAATAAATAAATTAAGGTTTTAAACGGGGCAAGGCGGGTACCCGGGGGGGCGTAAAAATATTAAATGGTTGTGGGGATAGGGTGGAAAGTCCCCCCGCTTTTGCGGTTTTGGGTGGGAATGAATATGGGGTTTTTAAACGGTTGCGGGGATGAGAGAGGGTACATCCGCCCAAACCCTCCCTCGTTGCCATCCCTATCGGGGTGGCTTCGGGGGTTTAATATAGCACCGAATCAAAAATTGGACCTGACTTTAAAACTAACTATAACGCATGGACGCTTACCCATTTACTCAGTAGTTCAAGTTGTTGGATAGTGCCACATATCCACCCATTTATATTCAATTATTTTTTCATTTGGATCTAACATGGAACAAATAGCCCCATGAAACACCAATACAAGGTTAACTGACTTGTGTATCTGAGGCATATAATAGGTAGGCCTTCGGTCATGATTCATTTTTTTAAGTTTGATTATCTGTTAACTCAATTTTTAACCATAGGATCGTTCGTTACTGTTTTTTTAAGAATGTATGAAGGCAATTTAATAAATTGTCCGAAAATTCTCTCATAAAATTATTTAAATAGGCATCGTTAAAAACATTTCTTTTAAATATATATAATTTTTAAATATATTTATGTCAATAGCTAACATCCGATATGCATTAGATGCATACTCTATCTACTTTTATAAAGATAGAATACCACATCAACTTCATTTAATAAAAAATATTAATGTGGCACTCTATATAGTTTTTTTCAAAAATGTGCAATGGTGTGGTACATTTATCTCATTATCTCCTTTTTATTTTATTATTTTTTGTTTGAGCTATGTATTAATATAGCTGTAGTGGGGGAAGACAAAAGTGTCCAAAAAAAAAAAAATTTAAAATACTACATAAAATAGAAAAAAGCATTAAAAATAATAATAGTAATAACCAATTCTCCACATATGCTCATTAGACTAGAGAATGTTTTGCATTGGCCGTTTTAATTTATAATTTATACTTTGAGATCTGCATTCCATAAATCATGATATACAGTATAAATTATAATATTACACACTATCAATCAATTTGCCCCCAAATAAAAGTCTTCGAGTCCACACTTCATGTACCATATAAAATATAGAGGGATGCTACGATTGTGACTTTTGTAACTTTTATTTTTCGTTTGTTGAGCCGCACTCATTTTATTTTATTTTATTTTATTGTTTTTGCTGTTTCTTTGTCGGTTCTTCTTCTCTCTCCCCCTACTCTCTTTCTCTCTGTACGTCCAAGTCGCCGGAGTCAAACAATCTGCCGTCCAAATCCAAGACAGTTTCCGCCGTCCAAATCCAAGGCAACTGTCGTTACATCTGCCCCTTCTCCTTCATCAAAACCTGCCCCTTCCCCATATTTGCAGACCCAAAATTTCTATTCTTCCCCTTCATCTTCCCCTTCTTCCTATCCCAAAAACACTTCTTCTCTCTCTACTCACCGGCGGGCGAAGAACCGGCCATCCAAGCCGCCGACCATCTCCTCACTTCCGACGCCGAGCTCCGATATTCCGGATTCGCTCACCATCACCCGAATCAACAACGGCATCTTCGGTAACCGGAAGTTTGGGTTGGACGAGGTTGTTTGCCGCCGGTGAACGTAGAAAGAGAGAGCAGGTGAGAGAGAGAAAAATGGGTTTGCAAGCAACAAGGGTTTGATATATTAGTGTCGCGGCTGGGCATAGATGAGTAGAGAGAATTGTTTTTGGGTTTGCAAGTAGGAAGAAGGGGAAGAATATGAATTTTGGGTTTGCAAATATGGGGTTTTCTACTGTAATTTTGGGTCTGCAATTTTGGATCTGCAATTTCTACTGTAATCGTCGATGCCTCTACAATTTTGGGTCTGCAAATATGGATCTCTTCCACTGTTTTGTCACCGTCATCGGCCACGAAGCAAATTGATGATCGGTTCTCTCTTCAATTTTGGGTCTGGAGATTGCTCGACTTGGGCGACTTGGACGTAGAGAGAGAAAGACAGTAGGGGGAGAGAGAAGAAGACCCGACAAAGAAACAGCAAAAAAATAAAAAAATAAACCAAAATGAGTGCCACACAACAAGAAAAATATAAAGTAATAAAAGAATGTTAGCGACAGTCGCGACGAATGTCCCTAGCATCCCTCTAAAATATGTATGTGTGTGTTTATTTTAAGTAAGAAAGGGAGACTGGTATTGTTAACTAATCATTGACTTAGGACATTACCAAGGACAGTCCTCCAGAGCAACCGCAGTTTATGTCCCGACAACGTCTTATAAATCTATGTCCCGACTCCCATCTTAGAAATCAAGCATATATAACCCTCCAGAGCAACCACCGTCTCTCTCTCTTTATTATGCCGAGATCAACCGATCGTGCGTGCGCTCGTGATTGCGGTTTCCTCATCCGGAAATGCGTCGTTACTATAATCTCCAGCATCATCTTCGCCCTGATACTCGTCTTTCTCATTATCAAACCGAAAGTGATCAAATTCCACGTTACTGATGCTACGCTCGCCGATTTCAACCTCAACACCACCACCAACACCCTCTACTACAACCTCGCACTCAATATAACCATCAGCAACCCTAACAAGCACATCAGCGAAGACTTCAAGCGCATCGAAGCTAGGGCTTACTACGAGGACAAGATGTTTGATGCCGTGACTATGACACCATTTTATCTGGGTCACAAGAAGAACTACACGTTGAGTCCGGTATTTAAAGGGCAGAACGTCGTAATGCTTGGAAATTCTGAGCTTGCTCAATATAATTCCGATAAAAGTTCTGGAATATACCATATTGCTGTGAAGCTCCATCTTCGGATTACGGACAAGACGTATGGGATCGATCCTAGGAAGATTAAATCCGTGGTTAAGTGTGACTTCAAAGTTCCATTACTTTCTAATAGCACAACGTCCCCTACTTTTCAGACAACCATGGCCAAGTGTTCTCATTTTTAATTTAGTGGTACTTTCTAAGCTGATATTTTAATCATGCTTGTGTGTTACTGTCTGTCTTTCTTATGTACGAATAAAAATCTTCTTTCTCTCTTTCATGGATTGATACTTTGGTTATTTTCTTTACGCGGGTTAATTATGTTATATTTTTTTCTTGACGGTGTTGATTTTGGAGATATATGTATTACCTTATATTTAGTACCATGACAGATCTAGATCGTATGAATCGTTCATTTTATTTCATTTGCTTTTGTGATGGAACAGGTTTATAAGTAGTGAATTTAGTTTTTTTTTTTTTTTTCTCTTGTGATTCTTTATTTGTTTTTATATATTTAATCGTTGGTCTTCGTTTTAATTCCCTTTGGTCATTGTATTTGGATAAGATATAGTTGACCTTAAGGTGGTCGACTTCTATAAATTATAGTGGCGCATGGCCTTTTATTATTATTACTATTATTATTGCCAATTCTTGAGGTTTACTAGGGGTTTACAAACAATCCCACATCAAACACAACTCAATGGGATTCTTATGTATTGATAAAAATTAAATTCAATCCCACTCTAATATGTACTTCATATTCAACTTGATCATCATGTATTTGGTGTGTATGAACGAAATGAAATGTAATATTCATTCCAATTACTTTTGTCCATTGTTGCCGCCTTCAACCGCCACACCATCACTGCCTCCATTGCCTTCCACCATTACCACCTCCACCGAAGTTGCCTCCACCACCACGTACTTCCATGCCACCAATGCCACCACCTTCCACCACTACCACCTTTGAACACCACCACCAACATTGCACCACCCCCGTCACCGTTATCAGTATTGTTGCATACTGCTCCATCCATTGAAGCACTCATTTGAAAACAAAAGACTTGCTTCTCCTATAAATAGAGAAGCTTTGGAAGTCATTAGAGCAGAAGAGATCCAAGAGAGCTTGAGTGAGCAAAGTTAGCGAGGAGAAAATATTGTATGTATTTACATTTGAGAGTCTATAATGTCACTCACACGCTTAAAATAAAACACTTTCACGGAGCGATTAAAGTTTTTTTGTGGGGCCAAATTAATAGTATTAAATTTAAATTTAAATAATATAATTGTAACCATATATATATATATATATAAGAGAATATATGTTTGTAAATGATATAAACAGAAGAACAAAACTTGCCTAGACACTGATGAGTAGTCTATCCCTAGATCGCTGATGTGGTTCAATCAGAATTACATACATATAGTATGTGATTACAAAATTAGAAAAGTGAGTAGGCAAGTATTGTTCTTCTATTTATATAATTTATAAACATTCTCTTTAAAATAAATTAAAAAAAAACCGGTTACAATTATATTATATTATATTATTTTTAAGTTTTAATTTTATACTATTAATTTGTATAATAATTTGGCCCATCAAAAAATTGTTATATTGCAAATAAATCTAACTTGTGACCCCCAAAATTAATATTAATTAATTTTAATTGGCTCCCCAAATATTTCAAAGCACTTACTCATGGATAATATATTGACCCCAATAATTATGATTTTCATCATCCTTATCCACTTTGTCTTTGTTGGAGAATATGAATTTAGAAGTAAACATGACTTTATCTTGTTAAAATTAAATAAATTGTTAAATTTCAACCATTTAAACCTAATTTTTAAAGGTCGAATCTTGTTCATTGTTATAGAAGTTCTCACTGCAATATATCTTTATATCATCATTTTATATATACACGTGTGAAGAGAAAAAAATATATATAAAGAATGTCCACAACAATAATATTATTAACGTTTATGCTACGTTTAGTGTGCAAGAATGAAATGAAATGTAAGTGAGAATGGGAATGGAATGGAATGGTCTGTGATACCCCTCGGATCCGAGACATGGGTTGATCAGGCCCAGGCCCAAACCCGAGGGATATCAAATAATTAATATGTAATACGAACATAGATGACAAAATGAATTTAATAAATAATGTTTAAGCTGGAAAAAACTAAAAGTAAAATCCTTTATAATTAAATACGTAGAATCTGATAATCCAAAACTCCATCAGTTTAACAACTCGGGAATCCATCTCTAGTGGAGCCCTAATAAAAATCCCAAACTGAATGAAAGTAAAAACTGAAGATAAAATCCAAATCTAATATCTGGAAAGAAGTCCTACGTCGTCGGTAGAATGGAAGATCGTCTCTGCTCAGCAGGAACAAGCTCTAGATTGGAAATGTCCGATACCTGAAAAATAATGAGTGGGTCAGGCCCACATGCAAGTTCTATACTACTACTACCCAAACAGAGACCCGATAAGCATGTACATCCTAACCAACCCAACAATAGCTAATAGTCTGTAGATAAATATATATATAATCACACTACAGGACTCTCACTGGACTACAGGCCCGTCTCAACCTGACTAGTAGGCACCATGCGAAAACGCACCCAAAGGTGGGCATGACTACCTAGTCTTAACAGGGTACACATCCAACCATCATAGCCAACTATGCATCCCAATGCATATATGCTCCCTAACCAACGACTCTGAAACTCAGGCTCATATCGTGGTACCATAAAAATATATTTAAATTCCATTCCAAACCAACGTGTCACTCAATTATTTATTGATCTGACACAAAATATAGGTAGGACTTAACCTTTGTAGTTAATCCGTCCCTTAATCCAGAGTAGGTAAGACTTAACATTTTTTGAGCTGATCCCCCTAGTATGACACCGTCCCATACCGGTGCATACAAACCATCCATCCAGTATTGATAATATATATATGATAGCATAACATATCAATATCAACATATCCAATCATAAGCATAACAAGAATGTTTAATTAGCATGTTTGTTCAATACATCCAGTACCTGATTCTCTGACAAATTTTTAAATGCAGAGAAGAAATATAACCATCCTGTAACTCACAATAAGCATAATAATAATAATAATAGTATATACATGCTTACTTGTAATTACTCCACAACATCCCACAAGTTGACATAAACAAATTCTTGGTAACATCAACTAGTTTCATATTAAGTATTAACTGAATTTATATTAGTTAATAGGCTTAATCCCATACCACTGATATATGATTTACATATCAAACTCCTAATTCAATTGCTAATTTAAAATTAATTAACTTGAATCATCTACAAAATTTCAACCATGTAAACTTCCTTAAAAGTATCTTGCTAACACTTATAAATATATATAATCATTCCGTAATCTAATAAACTTAAATTAAATTACAGGAACATGATTTAACAATATTACCATTCCCAGATAAATTGCAACTCATAGGGTTATGCACTTAAAATCCTCTGCCTCCAAAAACAGTCCACAAGTTCACCTGAAACTATAACGGTTTAAATCTACCGATTTCTTTGTAATTTATTATGCATCATCACACCCTCAGGATTTCTAATAGGACTTAGATGCTACTGAAATATCCCTGCATAGCTCCTAATAGCATCTGAAAACACCAAATTCTGAAACCCGTAGCCAAAACCATCACTGAAAAGGCGAAAAAACTGAAACCTGTTGAAGGAGCCAGCTCCACACAAAGTGGAGCCGCCTCCATTCTATGATAGAGCCGGCTCCATCATGATGGAGCCGCCTCTAACTTCCTAAAGAGTCGGCTCCATCCTTAGATTGAGCCTGCTCAATCTTTTAATGGAGCCTGCTCTATTCCTCTTCCCCCTGTGCATCTTCTTCTCCAGTTCTGGCGGTGTCTGGCATCTGTATTCCACCAAATAAGTTCATTGCTGATTAAAACTAAGTCTTAGAGAGTTCCAAAGTTAATTAAATTCATAACTTATTAACCAAATCATATGAAACAAGAATTACACAAAATAGCTCCTAAGTGGATTAAAATCCATACAAGAACATATACTGTTTCAGGTATCTAGCCCTGCGTCCCAGATTAATTTTAAGATTTCCCATTATGTTTTAGAACTATTAAAATTCTTAATCCATCAATTGACATCAATAAAATCATGAATTAAGTAAAACAAAACAGTAAAACAAACAACACTGTAAAACGAACAATTTAACAGTTCATAAACATATGTTTATTAAACAATGCAAGCATGCGAACCAGATTTGTTTTAATCCTTATTTCATCCCGAGATTGTGTTAGGGATGCAAAGAACACAGGTCAAAGAGGTAGAGCTAGTTATAAAACTTGCCTGTGAGACTCGGTTCAGAAATCTCAGCGTCTTTCTTCTAAGTTTTCCCGGCGCCCCTTTGGTTTTCCTCCTCTCTGTTTCTTCTGTCTCCACAATGTGGTTAGGGTTCTAAACCGTTGACAGCCTTATACAGATATATTTATAGGTTTATAAGTTTACACAAAACCCTAGTTTAATTTAAACCCTACACTAAATCCTTAGCCGGCCATATGGAACCTAATTAATGCTTAGTTATGTCGGCTACATACGTGACGTCTAAAACCAAAACCCTTAATTAATCCTACTAACATAAAACTCTATTTATAGAAAATCCATTTATACTAAATTAAATCATTTAACAATTAATTCAATTTCAAGAAAAATAATTACTTCTATTTAAAGAAAACAATTACATCCAATAATTAAAACCCAATTAAATAAATAATTAAATAAAACAATCAAACAAAAACAAGTCATTTAAATAATTCACAGTTAAATCAATAAAACACAATTTAAATGATTAAATAAATTTCATAATTATCCTTGTTAAATTAGGGGTATTACATTCTTCCCCCCTAACAACAGGAATTCCGTCCTCGGAATTCGCTCTTACCTTCTTCCCGTAATTCAGGAAACTGTGAGCGAATGACATTCTCCCGTTCCAAAGTAGACTCAGCATCATTGTAATGACTCCACTGGATACGAACTCAAAGAAATAACCTTATTACGAAGGATTTGATCCCAACGGTAGACAATACGATACGGTGGCTCCAAATAAGTTGCATCCAGCTGCAACTTAAACTCCCCAACATCGATATGCTGATACTGATCATCATCTCGCAGAAATTTCCGCAACATTGAAACATGGAACACATTGTGTATGCGATCCAAATTATCCGACAATGCCACCCTATAAAATACAGCTCCAACTTGATCCGTAATCATGAATGGACCAACAAATTGTGGAGACAACTTCCCTTTCTTCCCAAAGCGCATTACACCTTTCATAGGAGACACTTTGAGTAGAACCTGATCCCCAACCTGAAACTCCAAAGCATGAGTGCGACGATCCGCATAACTTTTCTGCCTACTCTGAGCAGTACGCATGCGATCCCTAATAAGAGCTATCTTCTCAGAAGTATCCTTGATAAATTTAGGACCCAAGAATCTGCTCTCACCAACCTCCAACCAACAAACAGGCGATCGACATGGTCAGCCGTATAACGCCTCAAATGGTGCCATCCCAATAGTCTTCTGGAAGCTATTGTTATAAGCAAACTCCACAAGTGGCAAATAATCCTCCCAGTGTCCCTTGAAATCAAGAACACACGATCGAAGCATATCCTCCATAACCTAATTTACCCTCTCAGTCTGTCCGTCAGTCTGAGGAT